TGCACAAGGCACTGTCAAACAAAGGCTGAGGCAGGAAAAGCTGCTGCCTTCGGGGAGCGTTTCTGGCTTGACTAGACCGTCAGTAGCTCTTGTTACCCTCTCTGAACAGTTGATCTATTTAGTCCTCAGGAGCTCTTAAAACTTCCATTTAGTTTCAGAATGTGTCCGAGTAAAATGAGCACTTAGAGGCTTTGGCCTGAGGGGATCATCCTGTCCCATGCTGTACAAACCCTGTACACCCAGCGGGGGCCCCACTGGGGAGTGTGGCTGTCTTTGTCGGTGGTAACCAGCTGAGTGAGAGTGACTCCTGGACATCGGAACTGCTCGTCCCCCACCCTGTGTCTCGTTACCCGCGTCACTGCACTCGGCTCTGCAGGTGTTGGGCGGGGTTGGGAGCAGCAGACACTGACTCCTTACAGCTCTGCAGGCCGGAAGTCCACCGGGTCCCCCAGGGTCCCCCCAGGGTCCCCCCTCGATCTGCATCCATGCCATCTCTCTGAGCATCCCACTTTCCTACTCTTAGGGGAACACAGGTCCGTTGGCCCTGGGCTCACCCTTGTGGCCTCGTCTTAACTCACCCCCATAAGGGTGCCATCTCCAGAAAGGCTCTGCATTCCTAGATACGTGTTTAGGACTTCATTACATGAATTTTGAAGGGGACAATTCAGCTCATAATTCCCCCATTCTACTAAATTTGAAGAGTTTTGCCCAAAATGAGGGGGGAAAATCTTGCCAGAAATGAGAAGAACAAGAACCTACAAAACAGATGGGCCTCACTGAACGCGTGGGCGTCAGCCATGTCAGAGGTAAATATTTTCTCTTTTCTCTTCCTCAGTGTCGGAGTTTCCAGGTCAAAAGATGTGCCACCGTTTGGTCCGCCGATCCCCAAAGGTGTGACTTTTCCAAAGTCAGCTGTGTTTCGGGACTTCCTCTTAGCCAAAGTCATCAATGCAGAAAATGCAGCCCATAAATCGGAAAAGTTCCGAGCCATGGCCACTCGGACAAGGCAGGAGTACTTGAAAGACCTGGCAGAGAACTTTGTCACCGCCGCCACCGTGGACACGTCTGCGAAGTTCAGCTTCATCACGCTGGGCGCGAAGAAGAAGGAGAAGGTAAAGCCCAGGAAGGACGCCCACCTGTTCAGCATCGGAGCCATCACGTGGCACGTGGTCGCACGGGACTTTGGCCAGTCTGCCGACATCGAATGCCTTCTTGGGATTTCCAATGAGTTCATCATGTTGATTGAAAAGGACTCCAAGAATGTCGTATTTAATTGTTCCTGCAGGGATGTTATCGGGTGGACCTCTGGATTAATGAGTATCAAAGTGTTTTACGAAAGAGGAGAATGTATCCTCCTGTCCTCAGTGGATAACTGCACTGAAGACATAAGGGAGATTGCCCAGCGGCTGGTGGTAAGTACGCGTTTTACGTTCCCCACCGTCCTGCCTTTCCGTCCCGGGTCCGTCAGCGCTTCCGTTCGGGAAATCCTGCCTGCTCGTAGCACTCAGGAGAGCCCGGGTTTACTGCCGAGTCCTTTCGAGCAGGTGCTGGCCGTGTGAGTGGTGGAGAAGCACCATCATAAATCACTTGGAAGAAAAAGTTAAGCCAACTTTCAAAAGGGAACACTGGGGCATACGTTTGGTAATATTTGAAGGAAAAGCTGAACTGTCTAGATACTCTGTTCGCTTATAAAGACTGGCATGTCGTTCCTTCCGGGGGCAGTTAGTAGCAGAAAATTGCTGTGGACAGTATGAACACCCGCGTCTTCTTTGCAGCTTCAACTCTGCCTGTTTTCATGCCAGGCCTTTTTGTTTAATCGACCAAGTTCAGTGTGCTATGCTTTGTCCAGCCACAGATCTTAAAGAGGTTTCGCAAAGTTATTCTTTTTTTTTTTTTTTTTGAGAGATTTTCATTGTAGGGCGCGTGCGCTCGCCAGACAGACAGAGAGAGACATAGAGACAGAAAGCGAGAAATCACCCCCCAGGGGGGATGGTCACGCCGCAATCCCTTCTCCTCCATTCTCCTCTTGGGATCTTGGGCACGTACGCACACGCGCCCGGCGTGAGTTTTAAGCCACCGGGTCCGGGACACGAACCGCGGTCGACTATGTGGGAGTCCAGCGACATAGCCATTACGCTAACTGCTGGTTCCCGCAAAGTCATTCTTAAAAGATATTTTAATGTTTTTTTTTAAAGCCATGTCTGTAGTGTTTATCAGTCGTAATTCTGCTCCCAATTTTACCGAAGCAAGATTTGGATATTAGTATGAATATCAACTGAGTAATCAATGGTTGTTTTCGGTAACAGAAGAAGAAGACATGCTTTAACAATAGGACTTTTTGAGTGTAACTCTCCCTCGAGGCATTGCTTTTCTAATTAGAAACAATTTATTCAACTATAGGTCTTACAGAATAGAATTATCAATATTTTGGTGCACTTCCTTCTCCACCAATGTAAGTCTCCCTTTTGTTACTAGAGACTCTGTATAAGAGACAACAGAATTAGGTCAGTGTCTGTTCACCTTGGAAAAATTAGTGCGATTTGCAGGCACTGTTTACAGTAAAGAGCCTCAGTGTGTTCGGCAGTCCCACCAGGTGTGTGTGTGCAGACTAGACAGGCCTTTGGGTGAGTAAGTGTGTGACTCGTTTATGCAGCTGGGGAATTGACTCAAGTTACACTTGTGGGTCTCAGGATAAACTGCTTTGGGTAATGGCCGACGCTCTGTTTAGTTTCCCCACTGAGTCATCACAATCTGTATCCTGAAAATACAACTCAAACAGGTGCCGTTTTACCCACCACGACATCCCATCCCTGCATGTTCATCTGTGTGTTCATCTCAGACATTTACTAGACCCTGGACCCCAGTCTGCTGTTTCCTTAGCAAAGCGACGATACTGCCGCCGCGGCCGAGGCTCGAGGAAGTCTGTTCTGAGTCCTGGGTGGCTCATGCTGTCAGAGGTGTCTGTTGAGTGGCTTCGAGCACAAGGATGGTGCAGGAGAGAACAGCAGAAAGGGAGACCAGAGTGCTGGGCGTGAGTGCCCCTTTGAGGGCTGGTAAAGCCCTGTCCCTTCTCCGGAACATGGGGTGTGGGACTGAAGGTGTCTGTTATGCAGGTCAGGATACAGGAAGGGAGCCCGGATCTGTGCCCAGAGCAGGCAGGCCGGCCTCACGGACACGCAGCCTGTGCACAGGGACCTGTACTCAGAGCGCAATGCCCTGCTGTTGCCTTCTTCAGATTCTTCCCGAGTTCTGAATATGGGGCCCTACATTTTTATTTCCACTGGGTTCCATTCAGCCAGTCCTGGCGCATAGACAGGAGATTACTATTTGCATGTGATAATTGAGTGTAAGTCTGTGAGGAACCCCACAGACATGGTCCTTGGGCTGGGAAGGTTGCGAACCAGGGAGCACAGGGATCGAGAAGTAGCCAAGCGCCGTAGCTGGGCAGGCGCAGCAGGCAGCAGAGTCAGCAGGCCTGCAGAACCCTGAGCCCCTTGCCGATCATGCCTCAGTACAGTGTGGGGTTGATAACGTCGGCCAGCAGTGGCATGGCATTGACATTTGAAAGCAGGCAGGGTGGGACCAACAGATGGCATATAGTGGTTACATCACTGGACTCCCACATGGTCTACCACGGTTCGAGCTCCAGACCTGGCAGCTTAAAACTCATGCCAGCTGCGGGTGTGTGCGTGTGTGTGCCCAAAATCCCAAGAGAAGACTGGAGGGAAAGGGATTGCTGCATAGCCATCCCTCCTTGGGAGTGATTTCTCACTTTCTGGCTCTCTGTGTCTCCAGCGAGCTCACGTACCCTATAGCAAAAACTTCTCTTACAAAAAAGAAAGAAAGAAAGAAAGAAAGAAAGAAAGAAAGAAAGAAAGAAAAAGACAGAAAGAGAAAAAGACAGAAAGAGAGAAAGAAAGAAAGAGAGAAAGAAAGAAAGAGAGAAAGAAAGAAAGAAAGAAAGAAAGAAAGAAAGACAGACAGACAGACAGACAGACAGACAGACAGACAGAAAGCAGGCCGGGCACTCTTTACACACAAGCTTTTGGTAGGGCGCTTAGAACACAGTTAAGAAAGAGGAGCTGAGAGAAGCTCCCGGGTCGGTGTTACACACCTTCTCAGCAGTCAGATTTGTCCAGTTCATCATTTTGAAAACTCCACTTTTCCCAAACGTCACCCATAACTATGGTCAACAGCCCCTCTCCTCATTTTCCTAAGCCCCATACTACCCTGCCTGCCTAGGAGAAGCGGATCGGCAGGGTGTGTATACACAGCATGGAAACGCCAGCCACAGTGGTGACACAGGACCAGCCCCGCCCCCCAGCTGTGCTTACGGTCCCGGGTCTTATTAAATAGGTTTCTGTGTATTCAGAGCGTGCTTCGTGGAGACGGAGCATTACGCCGAAACGCCACACACTGCCTCTGGGCTCTGGGGGGCAGGGGCGTGATGCCTCCTGAACAGGAATTTCCCACAAATAAGTGATGTCATCAAATGAGGTTTAATGAGTCCATGTTTTTCTTTCATTATGTGTAAGCCAAGCTCAGCAAAGGCTTTTGAAGGCAGCATTAACTACTCATTGGCAGGTCAGAGCGCTGCGTGGGCTGCAGCCTCCTCGTCCACGTTCCTTTTTTTGAGAGACATTTTTGCTATAGGTCATGCACTCGCCAAAGAGACAGAGACAGAAAGTGAGAAATTGCCCCCCGGGGGTGATGGCCACACCACAATCCTTTCTTCTCCATTCTCCTCTGGGCATTTTGGGCATGCCCGTGCACATACCCAGTGTGAGCATCAAGCCACCGGGTTTAGGACTCAAACCATGGTTGACCATGTGCTGTCCAATGCCTTAACCACTACGCCACCTGCTGGCCCCTCCGCATCCCTCTGTGGGGCTGCCACAGACACCCGTCTTTGGAAAGGTGCGGTGCTGAAGGGTTGCCCTTGGCCCGGGGCAGTGGGGGGTTGGTGGAGGAGAGGCTAGCCCAGGCTCAGAGGCCTGTCTGCAGCCTGCAGCCTGCAGGAGCGCCCTCCTGCATCCTTTCGTTGCTAACAGATGGCCAGGGAGGCTGGCTGGCCTGCCCCACGGTTGATCTGAATGGTCCCCGCCACACAGTGATCACGGGAGAAGGGGCCCTAGGGACAGAGAAAACCTCCACGGGACCCACAGGGCTAGTGTATAGAGCCTGAGGGTTTTCCTTTTCTTTCTTTCTTTAGTTTATTTTACTTATTTTTTTCATAAGGAGGGTAGAAAGGAGAGTGAGACCTGCAGAGCCCCCGCAGGGTCTCATCACTCTAAGATCCCCCAGCCTTCAATCAGGGTCACAGGCACTCCTGGCGTGTTCATTTCAACCTGACGCCTGAGTCAGGGCCTTCCCACGTGGCAGCAGCATCCCCGGCTGCTCCGTACCACCTGTGGCACCACGGCTGGGCCAGAGCTTCTGCACAGCTTCCTGGCGCAGGGCTGGGGCCACCACGTGTGAGCGTGCACGTGCTCGGGCACTTCCTTTTAGAGCTGAGGAAGTTGCCCGATGGTCCTCGGCACGACGGTTGGAACCTGCGATGGTTTCAGAAGTTGTTCCACTTCATCTGCTGTCATCCCCCCAGAACAAGGGGCCAGGACTGCAGCAAAGCCAGTGAAAAGAGAGAGGGGAGGTTACTGGGGAGCCCGCCTGGGGCTCAAGGTCACGGCTGGTGGCAACAGGGAGAGCAGGCCCGGGCAGCCCTAAGCAGCGTGTGCTGTTTCGTCACTTTCCCTCCCACTCAGTCCGTCCAGGCGAACTCTGGCTCTGTGTGCCCTTGTCTGTCCCGTGGGCGTCTGGAGGGGCAGAGTGGCGGGCACTGTCGGCTGGAGGGCTGAGGGCAGGGCTGGCTCAGGGGCCCCCCGTGTTCCCCTTGTGACGGGCCCTGTGGCCTGGGCAGGGTGGGCGTCTCTCACAGTCCCCTTCTCCCCGTAGATAGTGACGAGAGGCTGTGAGACCGTGGAAATGACCCTGCGGAGGAACGGGCTGGGCCAGCTCGGCTTCCACGTGAACTTTGAAGGAATAGTGGCGGACGTGGAGCCGTTTGGCTTCGCCTGGAAGGCTGGCCTGCGCCAGGGGAGCCGCCTCGTGGAGATATGCAAAGTGGCGGGGGGGCCGCTCTCGCGCG